TAAACCAGAAGGAATTTTCTAAGATTGGGGCAGAGGCTGGGGATGGTTTCTGATACCCACATGCTAATATCTTGGAAAGGCTTAACATGTCTTAAACCTGAACTTTGATCTTCGATCTTCTTGGTGTCACTACACATTTAATAAAGTCAGCATTCTTTCATTCACACTACAAATATTTATTGTGAGTCTACTGTGCTAGTCCCAGGACAAAATACTGGGACACATGTGTGAATTGGACATGGTTTCTGCATGAATAGGACATGATCTCTACCTTCAAGAAGCTCAAACTATTTAAAGGGACAGACGTATTCATAAATAATAAAAGCATTATAGATATTATGGTGTATCCAGAATAGATGGGGGCATAGGAGAGTTGATCGGTACTATCTGAAAGAAGGATCAGAATAGACAGAGAGGAAATGATGCGTGAGTGAGAGTTTTAAGAAGACTATTATGTATTGTACAGTACATAAATTATATTTCAGTACAATGTATTTAAAAAAAAAAGAAATATGTGGCTTTCAGGAAGATAATGAGGGCTGTCTGTATTTGGTAGATGGGGTAGTATGAGCAAGGACAGAGGCACAAACCAGCAGGCTATGCTTTGAGAGCCAAGAAAGGGCTCAGTAAGGAGTGAAGTTGAACATGTTGAAAGGGCTGTTCAAATTTTATATACCCTACCAGTAAAATCTTATTACTGACAGTAATGATTAAGTTTGTACCTTACAAAGATGCCCCTGGGAGTAATGTGGAGAATGGATTTAGAGAAAAATAAGACTGAAGAAGCCTATTTGAGTGAAGGGCTATATGTGCTTGAATTAAGCCAACAGTGGAATGGAATTGTTTTAATTGGGAACAAGTGAGCAGAGTAAAATTGTTTTAAGGAAGTATATTGATAGAACCATGGGTTAGATGTAAAGACTGAAGGAAAAGTTGGGGTCTAGAATGACTCACAAACTCCTTGAGAGATAGGTATTGCCATTGACCTGGACAGAGACGAGAAGAGGCCAAGCTTCTTAAAGATATTAGATAATCATTTTTCTCCCCACTGTTCCCATTTCCAGTGAAAATAAGGTAATTAAATCCAGTTACCTTTAAGTAGTTGGAATAATGATAAAGTGGTGCATGTTTTGACATGATATCCAAACAGCTTTTGGGTTTTAGCTTTTAAACATTTGTATCATAATTAGAAGAATTTAACTTTAGATTATTAGTGCCCATTCCAAAGAAAGGTGATCCAGCAGAATGTGGAAATTACTGAACAATATCATTAATACCACACGCAAGTAAAATGTTGCTGAAAATAATTTTAAAATAGTCACAGTAGTATGTTGACAGGAAAATTCCAGAAATTTAAGATGGATTCAGAAGAGGATGTGGAATGAGGGATATCATTGCTGATGTCAGATGGATCTTGGCTAAAAACAAAGAATACCAGAATGATGTTTACTTGTGTTTTATTGACTGTGCAAAGGCGCTTGACTGTGTGGATCATAACAAATTATTGATAACATTGCAAAGAATGGGAATTCCAGAACACTTAATTGTGCTCATGAGGAACCTGTACACAGACCAAAGAGGCTATCCTTCAAACAGAACAAGGGGATACTGTGTGGTTTAAAATCAGGAAGGGTGTGTATCGGAGTGGTATCTTTTCACCGTACTTATTCAATCCATATATTGAGCAGATAATCCAAGAAGCTGCACTATATGAAGAACTATTCAGCATCAGGACTAGAGAAAGACTCATTAGCAACCTTTGATATGCAAATGACACAGCCAGGCTTGCTGAAAGTGAAGATGCCTTGAAGCATTTACTGATGGAAATCAAAGATGATAGTCTTCACTATGGATTACACCTCAACATAAAGAAAACAAAAATCATCACAATTGGACCATTAAGCAACATCACAATAAATGGAGAAAAGATTGAAGTTGTCAGGGATTTCATTTTATTTAGATCCACAATCATCCCTCATAGAAGCAGCAGTCAAGAGATCAGACCTCATATTGCACTGGGCAAATCTGCAAAAGACCAAGTGTTGAGGAACAAAGATGTCACATTGAAGGTTAAAGTCTGCCTAACCAAAGCCATGGTATTTTCAGTTGCCTCATGTGCATATGAAAGTTGGATAATGAATAAGGAAGACTGAAGAAGAGTTGATGCCTTTCAATTGTGGTGTTGGCGAAGAATACTGAAAATACCATGGACTGCCAGAATGAACAAATCTGTCCTGGAAGGAGTGCAGCTGGAATGCTCCTCAGAAGGGAGAATGGTCAGACTTCATCTCACCTACTTTGGTCATGTTGTCAGAAGGGACCAGTACCTGGAGAATGATATCATGCTGGTAAAGTGGAGAAAGTCAGTGAAAAAGGGGAACATCCTCAATAAGATACGTCGACATAGTGGCTGTGGTGTCAGGCTCAAGCATAGCAAGGACTGTGAGGCTGGCACAGGGCTGGGCGTGGTTCCTTCTGTTGTGCATGGGTCCCTGTGAGTCAGCACCAACTTGCAGCACCTAACAACTTTAGATTCTTGGATTTAGCAAAAATGTTTTAGTACTGTTACAATTCTTAACCACTGACTTAGTTACAAGGAGCTCTGATGGCATAATGCCTGAGGCATTTGACTGCTAACCAGAAGGCTGGGTGGTTCAAACCCACCAGCCTCTCCTTGGAAGTAAGGTTAGGCAATCTACTTCTGTAATGATACTGCCTTGGAAACCCAAGGAGGGGTTGCTGTGAGTTGGACTCGACTGGACAGCAGTGAGTTTGGCTTTTTTTTTTTTTGGAACTTAGTTATAAAGACTGTATAAATTGAGTATTGAAAAGGAGTTGTGTGAAGTACTCTAACTAACTTACAAAAAATACTGCAGAAACCAAGCTATTAGTTTTATTACAGTGGAACCAGCTTCATTCCAGCGGTGGCTGTAGAGAAATCAAAGCTCAGAGTGTGACATTTGAACTCAGCCTATTTGGATATGAAAACAAATGGACTTTTAGCCTCGTTGACAACTGCTCTGTGCTTTTTCTGTCCTCTCCAGAATATTAGAATAATGGCCAAATACTACACAAGGATAACAATGAAGAGGATGGCACAGCTTCTGGATCTGTCTGTTGATGTAAGTAGTAAACATTGGTTGGCTTATTTATAGCCATTTGTTTTTAATATCAGTCAACTTACAAAATTTAAGTGTTTTTTAATGTTGTATTTAGGTGATAAAAGTCTCCCAAGCTATTTTAGTACCCCCAACAAAAGCCTAAATATCAGTCACTTAGCTATGTTAGTTTTACATTGGTTAATTTGAAATCCAGTGTATATATTTATATAATAAATGTGTTTTACTTCACCTGAAAAGCCCCAGGACTTGTTAGAGGAGTATTGTCTTCAGGTCTGTTTCATGTTTATAAAACATACAACATACAGAGAGCAGACCTAACTGAGCTGTATAGTAATGGTCTGAAAGCCATTCTGTCACCAAAAAGAATTGTGACACTTTAGCTAAAAGAACTACGAAATGTTAAAGGATTGCCCTTTGGTTAGCTAGTTAGCTCTTCTCAGTTATGGATGTGAGGGTACCACATCCATAGAAGAGTCCTTTGAAATAAAATGCCTGATGATGGATACGTTGTTGCCAAGTGGCAGAGCGTAAAAACCAGAGCATAACCTGTTGTTTTTTTTTTTTCTGGAAACAAATTAGCAGACACTTCAGACTAACTGGTGGCATATTGCCTAAGGCATATGACCGTTAACTAGAAGTTTGGCAGTTCAAAACAACCATCCACTCCGTGGAAGGAGCAGTGGGCAATCTACTTCTGTAAAGATTTATTGCCTCAGAAACCCAAAGTGGGGGGTCGCTATAGCCAGAATTGACTTGATGGCAGTGAGTTTGGTTTGGTTTTTGGTTTAGACCAGCTTATTGTTGGGACAGATACTTCCCTAGTACCAGCAGACATGCATTCACAGGCAGGCCCATTCAAACTCAGCACTGACAACTGTAGTTGAGAAAGTTCCATATAAAGTGGCAGTCAACTCAGGGTCTGTTAACTCCCTAAGCCGGAAATAAAATAAGTACATTAATACAGGAAAACGCAGTTGCTAACCGATAACAGTGACTTTTAGCCCTGCCTCCTCTTGGATTAAAAATTTAGAAAATGGTGCCCTTCAATGTTTATTGTCAGTGTAATTACCTTGTCTTAATCCAACTTGTCTTTCTCTCTTGCAGGAGTCAGAGGCTTTTCTTTCAAATCTGGTGGTTAACAAGACCATCTTTGCTAAAGTAGACAGATTGGCGGGAATTATCAACTTCCAGAGACCCAAGGATCCAAATAATTTATTAAATGACTGGTCTCAGAAACTGAACTCATTGATGTCTCTAGTTAACAAAACTACACACCTCATAGCCAAAGAGGAAATGATACATAATCTACAATAGGGTCTCAGTGCCCTTAATGCTTTTAGAGAAGAGGGAAAATGGAAAGTCATTAAAAAAAAAAAAGAAAGAAAGACTATTATCATGGTGTATATGTTGGCTTTTTTCTTTATCCTCAGTTCCTTTGTCTAAAAATGTAAAAGATAGTGAATATGTTTGGGCCCCTTTCTGACCTTTAAGTTCCCTGATTTCATTCATTGTTTAACTTTGTGTTGGCAATTGGTACAAAAATATTAATACCGTTTTTATTGTCTGAGTCGAAAACTGTGTCATAACATACCCACTTACGTTTTTCTACCATTTGACACTTTTTTAGCTATTGTTTTCGTTCAGCTAACAACCATAGTTATAATAAAAGCAGTATGTGCACATTTTACTTTCTATGATTACCTCTGTTTCTGTACATTTCATTGGGGTAGTGATTTGACAGGTGTTTTTTAAATAAATCTTGTTGTAAAGCTATCATTATTAAGTAGAATAAAAAAGCAGCATAGAACATAAGAACATTTGGGCTAGAGCTGTGAAGAATTTGTGTTTTGGTATTGTGCCAGAAATCTTTAGGCTGAATATATTTGTGATCCAATGGGGTGTGGACTTCTTTTTTTTTTTTTTTTTAACGCAAACTGGTTGTAATCATAGTAGTTTGACTTTATTTTGTTGTTGTTAACCTACCTCCCCTGACTTGTCCAGTTGTTTAACAAAATCAAGCTGCATCATGTTGACACAGGCTGTTAGGTGTTAAATGCTCTCTGTATGGTTAGTGGTGGATTTGGTTTTGACTGTTTTAGGTTTTTTTCTTTTATTGGTTTTGGCTGTTTCGTGGTTTTTTCTCTTTTATTTAAATACAGCACACAGTCATTTCTGTAAGGCTTTTTTGAATAAGCTTATAATAAGCAAGCTTAAAGAGTTGTTTTGTTTTACCAGTTTCTTAGTATGGCAGAAAAGAATCCACTAGCATAGGCATTAACTTACAGGCTTAATTACATCGTTAATACTCCAAATTCATCACCTCTTTTTAGGAACTTTAAGGTGGGTAAGGTATTTGGTTGCTAACCAAAGGTCAGCTGTTCAAACTCACAGCTGCTCCTCAGGAGGAAGATGAGGCAATCTACTTCCCTAAAGATTTTCAGCCTTAGAAACCCAATGAGGGTCACTCTGAGTCGGAATTGACTCGATGGCTGTGGGTTTGGTTTTTATTTTCCTTTAGGAACTTTAATTTCATCACCTGAAGGCTGGATAACTTCTTTAAAAAGTTTCAAAAATGGCAAAAAGAAAACCTTCACCCTCATAGCAGATGATACAGATTACTTTTTTTTTTTTTTTTCACCAAATTAAAGCAAAAGTAGTTCTGTCAAACATGAGATCAGTTAGTATAAGCAAATTTTGGAAATGTTTTTTATTTGAGTTATTTCAGAGAAAATAGAAAAATGAAACAATGTTAGAAAGTTATTTAAAATGACATTTAAACCAAGAACGTGTGAGAGCTCTGCTTTTTTAAAAATCTCCAAATGAAGAGGGGATAAAACCAAGTCAGCATTCTAGAAACATCATTTCTTATATTTTGTTTTCCATTTAATGGTCACTGAATTGTTGCATTTCGTGATCCTGGGGCTTGAGACAATTGTGGGACTTCTGTGATATTTATGCACTGAGTCATTATGAATGATGACACAATCTAATTTTGTGCTTAGGAAACTTAATGCATTGGTCACATTAATAATATTAACATCTGCTGTTACTTATCCTTAAAAAAACAAAAATAATGGCAACTTCAGAAACAAATTCACACTAATAATAAGAATATGGTTTTAATTTTCTTTGGAATGAAAAGGATAGAAAATGAAATCATTTTTTATTTTTAATGTGTAAATAAATAATGTTGGAGCTAATTTGACTCTCTAACTTCTCCTTACCTTTATCTTACTGGGTATTTACTCCCTGTAGATCTGACAGATATGGACTGCTTGACCAAACATGATGCTGTAGACCTAACATGCTCCTCTGTGGTCTTCACCACTTTCACTTTCAGATGGAAGCTCTGTGTGTTCTAATTTCGTGCCATTGGTAACTGTCCCAGCACCCAAATCTCACTTGACTTGATTAATATATTATTAATTTATTTCTTGTTCTATTTCTATCCAACATTAATCAAGCAAACTTACAAGTTTTTACCAATGTCTGAGTGTTTTTTCAGGAGGGAAAAAAACCAGTAAAATATTTATGATGTTCAGAGCTTAAATTACTGCCATCTGACATTCAGACTTAAAGCTGGCGTTTGTGGAAAGGCTAGAACCCCTGTTTTAAATATGTAGAAGACACTTGACTCGGTAACACTTTGATAGTGTACTTCCAGCAAGAGATGATGAACCTTTGTGGTTTTGCTTTGTTTTTAATACATATTAACACCTTTTACTTAGCCTTTTATTTCCATATAGTTTGTGTGTTTATTTTAGAGGTCAATAGACGTTTCTGTAATTATCCTCAATTTCCATATACTTGCTGAATTATTGAAAAAGCTTTTCCTTAAAATCTTTTATAAGTGTTAAATGTATAATAAAAGCACACTTTGAATTGTTTTAAGCTCCTGGATTTAGCAATAAAAACACTAATTTGTGGGTATTTAAGAAAACCTGGAGAATAAACTTTTACTTTGAAAGGTCACTTCTTTTTACAGTTCTCTTACTATTTAAAACAAAAAGCTGTAGATGATATTCATTTTTATCTTTCCAAATTTATCATCTCTATGCTTGTTTTCAAGTGAAACATGGTCTGATGTATTACTGGAAAACTTTATAAATAGCTGTGAAACATTGTCCAATATAGTGCTGGAAGATCAAAAGCCCATCAGGTCAGAAGGCACTCAAAATATGGGGAATAATTGATTCCTCAGAGTAGAGACGACGTTAACAATATGGACAGAGTAAAGCTTTTGGGACCTCCACTGGCTGATGTGGCATGACTCAAAATGAGTAGGAAGAGATGCAAACATCCATTAATAATAATTAGTAATTGGAACATGGAATGTATGAATCTAGGAAAAATGGAAGTTGTCAGAAATGAAATGGAGCGCATAAAGATTGATATCCTAGGCATTAGTGAGCTGAAATGGACTGGTTTTGGCCATTTTGAATCAGACAACCATGTGATCTACTGTGCTGGGAATGACAATTTGAAGAGGAATGGCATGGCATCATCATCAGAAAGGATGTTTCAGGATCTATCCTGAAGTACAATGTTGTCAGTGATAGGATAATATCCATATGCCTACAAGGAAGACCAGTTAATACAACTATTATTCAAATTTATGCACCAACTACCAAAGCCAAAGATGAGGAACTTGAAGATTTTTATCAACTTCTGCAGTCTGAAATTGACCAAACATGCAATCAGGATGTGTTAATTATCACTGATGACTGGAATGCAAAAGTTGGAAATAAAGAAGAATCACCGGTAGTTGGAAAATTTGGCCTTGGTGACAGAAATGATGCTGGAAATTGCATGATAGAATTTTGCAAGACCAACGACTTACTCATTGCAAATACCTTTTTTGTCAACAACACAAATGGCAGCAGTACATGTGGACTTCACCAGATGGAACACACAAGAATCAGATTTACTATATCTGTGATAAGAGGCAATGGAAAAGCTCAATATCTTCAGCCAAAACCAGGTGAAGAGCTGATTGTAGAACAGACCGTCAACTGCTCATGTGCAAGTTCAACTTGAAGTTAAAGATAGTTAAAACAAGTCCACAAGAGCCAAAATATGATCTTGAATATATCCCTTCTGAATTTACAGACCATCTAAAGAATATATTTGATGCATTGAACACCAATGACCAAAAACCAGAAGAATTGTGGGATGACAGACGAGACTCTGAAACTTGCCCTTGAGTGGAGAGTAGCTAAAGCAAATGGAAGAAATGACAAGATAAAAGAGCTGAACAGAAGATTTCAAAGAGTAGCTCCAGGAGACCAAGCCAATTACTATAAAATCTGTCTTGGAAGAAATGCAGCCGGAATGCTCTTTGGAAGTGAGAATGGCCAGACTTCGTCTCACTACTTTGGGCATGTTGTCAGAAGGGACCATTCCTTGCAGAAGGGTATCATGCTTGGTAAAGTAGAGGGTCAAAGAAGAAGGGGAAGGCCCTCAATGAGGTGGATAGACAGTGGCTGCAATGATGGGCTCAGGTACAGCAAGGATTGTGAGGCTGTCACAAGACCGGGCAGTGTTTCGTTCTGCTGTGCATAGGGTCGCTATGAGTCAGAGACGACAAGGTGGCACCTGACAGCAACAACCACACACTTGTTTTCAAGCAGTGGGAAAACATTTTAACATATTTGGTTCCAAAGCCAACTGATTGACCTTTTTCCTCAAAACTGTTTCTGATTTGAATGTGATGACATTATGTACTTAAACATTATTGTACTCTCAGCCATTGGTTCCAAAATTAGCTCACATCAGAATCACCTGGGGACTTGGTGCAGCTTGCGACCAGGATGGAGTTTCTGATTCAGTAGGTCTGAGTGGGGCCTGAGGATTTTCATTCCAAACAAGTGCTCGGGTGATGCGATATTGCTGGTCCACAGACCACACTTGTAGTAAGCACTAGAGGGAAAAAAATGATAGTAAAAAAATATATGAGAAAAATAAAAAAACTGAACACAGACATCAGTAAAGTCAGGTACGTGGTTCAGTGCGATGCTTCACTGGTGCCAGGTGATGTTGAGTTTACTGATTGGAAAGTTTAGTCTTACAGTGCCTGCCGAGATGGAAAGAAATGTTCTCGCTGTTTGAGTGAATATTTAAAAAGTCTCTGACTTGGAGCTTAATACTGCATATATTGAAAGGATTGAATGGCATTTCCTCGATTGAAGATTGCAAAAGTGCCATTAGCTTGCCATTTCTTTTATCTCTGTAATATAGTTGGGGGTGGTGTTTATCTTTGTAGCCATCATTTTTGTTACATAGTAGGAACTTAAGTCCTTGTTGAGTTAAACTGT